TGAGAAGTCCTAGTCGAAATATAACTGGTGTTCCAGAGAAGGGGAAGAAGGACAGAGGCTGTAATTAAGCATAAAAATAGCTGAGAATTTTCTAGAACTGATGAAATACACCAATCCTCAGACCTAGGGTCTGGCCAAAAATAACAATCTGGATAAATTAAAAGAAATTCACACCCAGACAAATAACAGTGAAACTGCACAAGACCGAAAAACCCAGGAAATCTCTAATGTACCCAGCAAAAGTCAGACTATTTTGGAAAGATTGACCTCTGGCGTCCCAACCCTAATACTGCTCAGGGAGAGTATGTTTTGAAGGATGAAAATGAAATAAAGACGTTTTTCAGACTGAGTACCATTTGCTTGTATTTCTGGTGATGTTGTTTTCAAGCAGCAGACCCTAAAGGACGTTTTCATCCCAAAGGAAAGTGATCATAGATGTAAAGCCAAAGTACAAGGAGTAAAGAACAAAGCCACGTGTATGTGAGAAAATTCAATAGCATCGATTCTACACAACAATAAGCCTCACGTTTGATTTTTAAAATGACTATTTTAACAATTATTTTTGTATTTTAATTTAAAGGGGTAAATTGTTATAAGGCCTTTGTGTCCTCAAAGGGAAAAAAGTCTTTGATAAATTGAGTATGGATTTTGTAATTTCTAAGGTAAGCACTAAAAATCGGAAAGCTCATTTATAACGTTCCTTTTAATAGAAGGAAAAATTAGTCCCAAAGGGGAGAAAAAATAAAAATAACCAATAAGGATGGACCATGTGGGACAAGTAGAACACATGTGAGAAGGTGAGGGGCGGGAGGCCGGGGGGGAGGGAGGTCAGGGGGATCCCCTGCCGCCTCCCGCAGGCCTAGCTCATCGTGTGTCGTGTGCGGGCTTCCTTCCCAGCACCAGGAACTAGCCTTCCACTTGACTTCAAGAGCTACCACATTGGCTCAACATTTATTCTTATCGGAAGTCTCTCTCCTTGGCCACAGAGCGGGGTTTACAGTTCTCCAAACACCGAGTTTGAGTGTGGGAGCTTCGAGGGTGTGGGCAGCTGGAGTCAGGTCTCCACTGGGGCTGTGCGAGCAGAACTGGCTAAAAGCTCAGTTCTCCCTCCCACCTTCTCCACTCGGGCTGGCCTGGTGTGACCTGTCCTGATGGACAGTTGTCCGTGGGGGCTGAGGAGGGACAGCGCAGCAGCCGCAGGCTGCCAGGAGGTGGCCTGAGACAAAGGCTCCGGTAGGGGGCGGAGCTGAGTGGAGGGACGTGGAGGGGCGGGGCGGGGCAGAGCCTTGGGTGGGCGGGTTGGGGCAGAACAGGAGAGGCTGTGGGTGGGCACTGGGTGAAGCATCTGGTGGGCGGGGCTTGGGTCCGGCTCGACAGAGCGGTGGGCGGGGCGAAATCTACATTACAGGGATTTCGTGCAGCACTTTCTGAGCATCCATGAGGTTACAGCTTTGCTTAAAATAGTTTTTCTTTCTTTGTCAGAAGAACAACTGGCACCTTGACTGTGAATTCTTGGTGAGTCATCAGCAAATATACACCAGCGTGAGAGTCTGACCAGCTGTTAGTTCCTATTTACTTCTTGACAGCAGGGGAGAGAAATAAGAAGAGTTAATTGGTGTGTGCAAGTGCCAGGGGCTTTGGAGAAAATATGGTCGGCCCCGTTTTAGTTCTTCAGTCTATTTTTATTCGAGCACCAGAGAAAGAAACTCAAGAAGTGTTTTTTCATCGTCAAGTGGGACACAAACTTTACATTATGTAAAGACATCCCTTGCGTGTCGCCAGAGATGGCAGGCATTCCTTTCTCCCCACCGTTCACAGTAGGTGCCCCGACTGTGCTGCAGGCCAGAGGCCACAGAAACCAGCTGCAGCTCGAACCAGGAACAAACCCGCCAACGGTTAAGCGGCTACTGTGCAAACCAGCAATTCCACCCCTATATATATATTGTATATGCCCAGAAAATAAAAACGTGTCCACACAGACACTTGTACACGGATGCTCATAACAGCCCAAAGGTGCAAACAACCCAAATGTCCATTTACAGATGAATGATAAGCAAAGTAGGTTCTGTATATATAATGAAATATATGTACATGTAACGGGGTCTGTACACATACTGAAATACATATAATTAAATATTCCCTTCCTTTAGAAAGAAGGTAATTCTACTGACAACATGTTAACTGAAATAAACCAGGCACAAACAGATAAATACTGCATGATTTCATACAGAGTACCTACAGTGGTCACACTCAGAGACAGGAAGTAGAACGGAGAAAGCCAGAGGCTGGGGAGAGGGGATGGGGTGTTCACAGTTCTTAATGGGGACAGAGTTCAGCTGGGTGAAGACGACAAAGTTGTGGAGATGGACAGCTGCACAACAATGAGAATGCGCTCAATGGCACTGAATTGTACATTTAAAATGGGTAAGATGGTAAATCATATGTTATGTATATTTTACCATAATTTACAAATGAAAACAAGACAAAACTGAGTCTGCCATGCTATGCTGAACTGAGCCTGCCATGCTGTGCTGACGATCACCTGCAGTGGAAGCCACTGGCCAGACCTCTGGCCATCATGTTTTCTCCGAGCCCTCCTTTGTTGCAGTAGCGGCCGGAATCACAGTCCCCACCTCTCAGCAACAGGGGAAGGGAGGGAGGGAGAGAGGGAGAGAAACCGCAATGTGTGGTTGCCTCTTGTGTTCCCCCTGTTGAGGACCTGGCCCGTAACCCAGACATGTGCCCTGACTGGGAATCCAACTAGTGACCCTTTGGTTCACAGGCCAGCACTCAGTCCACTGAGCCACACCAGTTGGGGCATCTGGAGACATTTTAATGATTACAACCAGGGGGAGGGATGCTACTGGCAGCTCATAGATAGGAGTTAGGGAAGCTGTTGAGCATCAGGTGATGAACAGAACAGCCCCACGACAGAGAATGCTTTGCATCAGAGGTCAGAATGCCCATGGCGTGGTGGCATGGCAGCCTGAGCTGATGAAGACAGGCCCCTTCTCTAAAGCAGTGGCCCTGGTAGGGGCTTCTCATGGTCGTATATGTTCGTGGAGTTTGCACAAGTCACATATTTACCCACAACTGGCTAAGAGCACCACAGCTTTCTGCTGTGCTATCTGTCCTATTCCCTGTTCCTCATTCCAGGGAATAGTAAAGCGTTTAGGGAATCTTCCCCTGAGGTCGGAGTTGGTTTTCATGGGAAATGATTATGTTGTTCTCAGTCACTTCTGGGTCCAGGGAGTCACCACCAGTTCTGACCTGGCTTCAGGAACTCCACCACCACCATGTGGAACCTGCCGGGGAAACAGAGGATGCAGGGCCAGGGCCCTCTGACAGGCGTTCCCAGGAGGCTGGTCTCTGGAGGGTGGAGGGGAAACAGGTCTTGCACACCTAGGGAATAACTCTTATCACCACGTGGCTAAGGTTCGGGAGGACTTGGCTTCCTTTGGCTCCGAGAGAGTGGGACACTCTTGTCCATCAGGGATACTTGCTAACCTGCACCCAGTTACAAACACTGAATGTCTCAAATCACGTGCCTCAGGCCTTATCAGAAAGCCTGGGTTTGTAAAGCGCACATCTGTTCCCACATCTCGGACCACTGAGCCTCGTCTGGGGACCTGGTGGTTCCAGACAACACAGCAGGACAAAAATCTCTCTTCTCCTCAATCGATTATCACAGCACACTGGCCACAGATTATGCAAAACAAAAAGTTAAAACAGACATTGCAGACTCAGTTGTTGCCTTAGGTGTGTGGGGGACAGTATCTACTGCGGGCACCAGGTACCCTATGCCTGGGGACAGCAGTGGGGCACTCTGGGGTGGGCAGACCTCTGTCCCTGATGGACCCCTTGCCACCCTGGGGTGGGGAAACCCAATATGTCCTCCACATCGCCGCCCCCCTGCTCTGTGAGGTCCCCAGCAAGGCTGAGCCCAGGTGTCCGAGGCAGTCTCAATAGTCCTGAAAATGTAAGTAGCTGCAGAGGTGTCCAACATACAGCAAGGTAGGTGTGAGCCCCGATGGGGCACAACCCTCTGTGGGTGTTCTGACCTCACCCACCCCGTGTTCCTGTGGGACCGAGGTCTTCCCACACCCGTCATCGTCCCACAAAGCTGATGAATCACAACCAGCAGCAGGTAAAATAAAACAGTTCATACATGGCACGATTCTCAAAGCAAATCATTCTTTTGGTTTTTAACCAAATGATTCCTGTTGTATTTTGACCCAACAGGGAAGGAAAATGTGATGATACGGAAGAGAAAGTGGGCATTCGAGCGAAAGATTAGACCCCCGGAGCTGAAGGCGGTCTAGGGGCTAAGTCGGGGACTGCCTAGACCAGGAGGGAAGCGGGAGGCTGGAGGGTCCACGCCTTGTCCTCGCCCCCAACACTTGTGCGAACACGTGTTCGGACTCACACACAGACGCGCACACAGGCGCACACACACTAGCACGTGCACACATACACAGGCGCACAAGAACGCACACAAGCACGCACACCCACGGACTCTGAGTGGCTCTGGAACAAGGACAAGGCCCTGGAGCAGCTGTGGGGAAACACCGCAAGCTTGTCCCAGACAGGGGCCCCTGGCGCCAGGAGACCGGTCCCGGGCGTCCAGGCCACGCGTCAGAGTAGGTAACCTGCCCACCGCGCCCCGCGCCGGCCCACGCGGCTGAGTAAACGCCCGGCCCCGCCCCCTGCTGGTCCAGCCCCGTATTGGCTACTGGAGCAATGTCCCCGCCCTCTGTCAACCCTGGCCCCGCCCTACCCCGTCTCTAGACGCCCCCGTGGACCCGCCTCCCACACGCCACAGGCTTTGGAGGGGGTGGGCGTCACCCTGGAGGCGGAGACGACAGCAAGATAGACAGGCAAGGTAGCCAATAGACATGCGCAGCCACCCTAGCAACTGCGGCCAGCCAATGGCGCGGCGGGGCGGGGCCGCATGCTGTCAAGCGGCGGGGGCGCCGAGCTGCAGCTTTCCGCGGACTGCGGGTTTGCGCGGCGTCTGGGTGCCTGGCCGCCGCCTCTACGCCGTCCCGCGGGCCGGGCATGGGCGCCGGCGCCGGCACCATGAGTGTCCTGGGCAGCCCTGTCCGCGCCTACGACTTTCTGCTCAAATTCCTGTTGGTGGGCGATAGCGACGTGGGCAAAGGCGAGATCCTGGCGAGTCTGCAAGACGGCGCGGCCGAGTCCCCATACGGCCACCCGGCGGGTGAGCGCGGGTCCGGGGAGGAGCTGGGCTGGGGCCCGGGAGGAGGAGCGCAGCTGGGTGCCGGGAGCGCGGGGCACAAGGCCGGCAGGTCTCTGCCTGGATCGGCCCACACTACGTGGGTGGCCCCGGTTGCACCCCTGTTCCGCACGTGGGGGTCGCAGGCAGCTAGTGGGGGGCTTGGGGACGACACAGTGGCACGTCCTCCATCCTTTCGCTACACTTTGCATGTCGGCGCGAGTGAGTGGCTGGACAGGCCACAGGGTCCTCCCGACCTGGGGGTGACTTCGAGGAGGAGAGCAGGGGGACAACTCAGCCAGAGGTTGGGAATGGGGCCCTACAGGGAGGCCCACGTGCGCGCGACGCGTTTGGAAAGAATGCGTGGGATGTGGAGACAGCGGGAGTGGCTCCAAGCGTGGGATTCGAGCTCAGGCTCCCAGGTGGCGGCTCTGCACGTGGGTCGGTCGGAAGAGGAGGGAGAGAAGATGCAAGAGGCCTAGTCCGGAGGCTGTTCAGGGGTTCCTGGTGTCCTTGTCCCTGGTGGACAGGCCTGGAAGGGCAAGGAACCCAAGTGACCCTCCAGAGTGTGGCCTGGGCTTGAGGAAACGCAGGAGAGTGGGTTCCAGGACCAGGGGAGGCTCGAGCACCCAGAGCTGGAGGGGCAAGGGGAGAGCCCAAGGTGTGCGGTTTGGCAGTCGCAGCCCCAAGAGGGGGTGGACATTAGGAGGGAAGGAGGGACAGCAGGAGAGGAGAGGAGAGTGCACTGGGCATGGACTTGGGCCAGGAGGGGGAGGAGAGTCCACCTGGTGGTCTCGTGTTGATTCTGATAGATGCTAGAACAGTGTTGTCCGAGATGATGCTATTAGCTACCCAAGGCTTTTTAAAAAAATTTTTTCTCTTTTTTTAAAGATTTTATTTATTTATTTTTAGAGAGGGAAGGGAGGCAGAAAGAGAGAGAGAGAGAGAAACATCAATGTGCGGTTGCTGTGGGCCGTGGCCTGAAACCCAGGCATGTGCCCTGACTGGGAATCGAACCTGCGACACCTTGGTTCACAGCCCACGCTCAATCCACTGAGCTACGCCAGCCAGGGTGGCTTTTTAAAAATGTTTAAAGGTTTTATGGATCGATTTATTATTGGAGAGAAGGGAAGGAAGGGAGAGGGAGAAACGCTGATGGGACAGACAAGCATGGGTTGGGTGCCCTCCTACGCGCCCTGTCAGGGGCCGAGCCCACACCCCAGGCATGTGCCCAGACGGGGAATCCAGTCAGCAGCCTTTCAGGTTACAGGACGATGCCCAACCACCTGAGCCACACCAGTCTGGGCGGCTCTCTAAATTCAAAGCAGTTATAATGGTACAGTTAAAAGTTTGCATTAGCCCTCACTACCCAGCGATTCCACTACTAAGAATATATCTAAAGAATCCCGAAACACTATTTCAAAAGAATATATGCACCCCATGTTCACTGCAGTGTTATTTACCGTCGCCAAGACCTGGAAGCAGCCCAAGTGCCCATCAGTACATGAGTGGGTAAACAAAGCTGTGGTCCATGCACACGGTGGAACAGTGCTCAGCGGCAGAAAAGAAGGAAATCTTGCCTTCTGCGACAGCATGGGTGGACCTGGAGAGCATGTTAAGTGAAATGAGCCAGTTAGAGAAAGACAGATACCATGTAATTTCACTTACATGTGGAATCTAATGAGCAAAGTAAAGTAACAGACAAAATAGAGACAGAATTATAAATACATGGAACAGACTGCCAGCTGTCAGAGGGGAGAGGGGAGAGGTTGGGGACTGGGTAAAAATGGTAAAGGGAATAAGGGGAAAAAGCACAAAGACACAGACAATTTTAGGGTGATTGGCAGGGGGAAAGAGGGTGGGGGGAGGCGGAAGAGGGCAAAGAGGGGATGAATGACGACAGGAAGAGACTTTCCTTTGAGTGGTGAACCCACAACGCAGTGTGCAGGTGGTGTGTCAGAGAATCGCACACTTGAAACCTGTGTGCCTTTGTTAACAAATGTCGCCACAATCAATTCAGTAAAAAATTTAAGAAAACACTTTGGCATCAGCCACATTTCCAGTGCTCAACAGGAGCATCTGGTTAGTGACAACACGGAGGTGGCAGCGTTCCAGACAGAGCAGCCCTGGAGTTTGAGCTCCGGGGAGGCAGAGGCTGCTTGCTGCACAGCTGGGTCCTCAGGGCCCCGCGGTGAGTGGGGGAGCCGCAGCGGAGGTGAAGGAATAAAACACTCAGCAGGTAAAGCCCGGTGCTTGTCGAACTGCATGGGTCTGAGGAGAGCAAGCTGGAGAGTGCTCCGAGTCATGCAGTAGGTAAGTGAGGAGGACATAAGCTTGTAAAACTCCTGCCCAGTCTGAACAAGCGCTTGGCTAAGATTCTGTTGCATTATTTCCTTTGTGTTAGGCAACGAACCCAGGATTTCTAAAGACAATGTCTTTTTCTAGAGTAAATGCTTTCTTCTGAAGTTTTTTCCTTACACAGAGGGGAGGATTTAGGCTAAAGGACACTTTCCACAAAAGCTTTTGTTGTCACCTTGGCTTGAGATGCTGCAGAAAAGAACTGATGTCATGCATGTGCCCCTCGTGGGTTTTTGATTTGCTGAAAGACTTTTCTACGGTTAAGAAATGAAATTATGGGCTCTGGCTGTTTAGCTCAGTTGGTTACTGCATTGTCCTGATACACCAGGGTTGCAGGTTCCATCCCTGGTCAGGGCTCATGCAAGAATCAATCAATAAATGCATAAGTAAGTGGGACCAAAAAATCAACATTTCTCTCTCTCTCTAATTTCAAAAACTTAAAAAAGAGATTATTGCCCTGGCTGGCATAGCTCAGTGAATTGAGTTCGGGCTGCGAACCAAGGCATCGCAGGTTCGATTCCCAGTCAGGGCACATGCCTGGGTTGCAGGCCATGTCCCCAGTGGGGGCCATGTGAGAGGCAACCACACATTGATTCTCTTTCTTTCTCCCTCCCTTTCCCTCTCTAAAAATAAATAAATAAAATCTTTTTAAAAAGAGAGAGATTATAAAAAATTGTAAAAAGTCGGAATCTTTTTTTCAAAGACATGTTTCACTTTGAAACTATGGGTGCTCCTGCCGTCGAAAGGCCAGGGCATTTCCAGCCTCCATCTCCGCTCTCCTCCACCCGGGTTTCACAGCCCGGGTCCTTGTTTCCCCACTGCCCAGGCCCGTGTCGCTCGCTGGTGCTGTAGCTGCCGTCACCGTGACCGTGACCGTGACCGCTCAGCAGTGGCTCGCCCTTTAAGGACTCGGGGTTCACCGCCGGTCCTGGTCACCCCTCTGTGGCGGTCCATTCCTCATTCTGCTGTCCCTCTAATTAGCTAGATTTCACTTTCCATCATTTTCCAGGATGGGCTCGTGAGTATTTCCTGAACACTTTCATGTTTGGGAACATCTAGCCCATTGCCTTTATCTCTGAACGGTATCTTGGCTGGGTATAATATCCTTAGGTTATACATTTTTTCCCTCAACACTTTGTAACTATTGTCCCGCTACACCTTGGCATTGGACATGCTGCGATGAAGCCTGAGGTCAGCTAATTTTCCCCCCACGTGGGTGGTTTGCTTTTTCTTCTGAATTTTGGAAGAATTCTTTCTTTTTGCTTCATGCTCCATTAGTTTAACGAGATCACATCTCAGAGCTGAATGATTGGTATTGAACTTCTAGTATGCTCTGCATTATTTGAATTTACAGAATTGTTTTTTAGTTTCAGGGAAATTTATTTTAATTTTTTCAATCCTCACCCAAGGACATTTTTTCATTTTTTTTTAGAGAGAAAGCAAAGGAGGGAGAAACATCTATGTGAGAGAGAAACATCAATCGGTTGCCTCCCATATGCACCCAGACCAGGAATCACACACACCCAAACAGGGATCGAACCTGCAACCTTTTGGTTACAGGACGGCACTCCAACCACCTGAGCCACAATGGCCAGGGCTCAGGAAGATTTGTTTTAATGTCCTTCTGTTACATTTGTTGGTGTTGCTACTTCAAGGACACCCATTACATTAGTTTCCTCTTGCTGCTGGGTAACTCCCCACAGACTTGGTGGCTACAAACGGCGTAACTGTATTATCTTACGGTCTGGGGCTCAGAAGTCCACGCAGCCTCACTGAGCTGAAATCACCGTGTGGGAGGGCTGGGTTCCTTTCGGAGCTGCTGGGGGATCTGTCTCCTTTCCTTTTCTAGTTGCTGGAATCCGCTCGCGTCTGTACCCTGTGGCCCTTCCTCCCCAGCACTGGCCTGGGGAGTCCTCCTCACTTCTCATCACTCTGGGGCCGACTCTGCTTCTGTCTTGTCTTTTAAAAACTCTCATGATGACGTGGGGCCCACTTTGACGATCCAGGGTAATCTCCCTGCTGTAGGGTCAGCTAATTAGCACACTTTATTCTCTCTGCAACCTTCATGCCCCTTTGCCGTATAACCTAACGTGTTCACGAGACCTGGGGATCAGGACGGGGGTCTCTGGGGGGCGGGCATCATCCTGCCTGCTGCACCAGTTCCCCTTGGGTCGGGCCATTTTCGTCTGCCTTCTGTGTCCACTCACTTCTCTCCAGTTGCTGCTTTGGTCTGTTCACCTTCCTCCCCTTCATTTCTGCGATTATCTCAAACCTTTCCCACTTCTTGGTAATTCTGATTTTAGTGAAATGTCTCTGTTTCTAATACATTATGTTAGTTCAGTAATGATGTTGCTTCGGTCTCTAATTTCTTCCTCACTTTTACAATTTTACTTTTTTTCCATTTAAAAAATCTCTTAAATATTTCAGTTAAAACCCTTTGAACACTTACTTTACTAACTTAATGTTTTTATTAAGTAGTTCTGAGAGGGGACCGAGATGGAGGCCCAGGCAGAAACGCTTCTTACTTGCACAACCAAAAGAAGGAAAACAAGCAATTTAAAAACAAAGAGCAACCAGAACTGCCGGAAAAGCATGTGCACAGAAGTCCCACAACCAAGGACTTGAAG